AGAAGATTCAGAGATCGCTGATTTGGTCCCGAGTGGGAATTCTCATCTTTCCAATTTGCAGGGATGACCAAGACCCACTCTAACTTGAATGTAAATGAATAACTGAACTAATAGCAGAAAGAAGGAGTGGTGATAAAGTGTGTAGCTTCTTAACCGCTACAATCACAGTTAATGAAATATCAGTAGACGGAAGCAGATAGTAAAAATACAGTAGTATACTTTGAATTAACAGTGGGCTTCCCAGTAAAATGAGACTGTATAAGAGCATTCTGCTGGGACAGTTTATTCCATTCATTTGTCTTCTTTAAACAGAAGTCTCCACAGATGCCTGTCATGTACTCTGGACAACCTTTCCACAATTAATAGTTTCACTATTTTGTCTTTGCTGAGCTTTAAGAAGACAATACCATTTATTTAATGCAGATTAAAATACACATTGATAATGAAGAACAGATTAGTTAAGACTTAGTTAATTACTATTTTCAGTACAGTTCGCTATCAATTAATTATATTATCATGCAATAGCTAGCATACGTCTGCTCCCAATTGGTTAAATACTTCTGCAACTATATTCCTACTGAGATCCACAGCAAAATTGCCATTGCCCCAGTAAGCTTTAATGAAGCCCCTAAGACTCGGAAAAACAAGGCCAGTCATCTGTACTTCGTGTTGCTTTGCTAGCATTTATGACTTTAAATGAAGTAAAGCAAAGTTACTCTGTTCTACATATGGCTTGTCCTATACTTTCAGCTGTGCTATCTGCCACGTAGGAGTGCACTAAAACATGGGTTTGAAGGGGTTTAGCAGCTGAATGAAGAAACTGAATTTATGCCATAACTTGGGTGTATTTGCTAGAGAAAACTCCTTAGACTGTAGACAATGTTTTCAGTACAGGGACTCTTACATCGATGTCTGGAAAAGCGGCAAAAAGCATGCCAGTTACCAAATACATAGTACTACAGCAGACAGGATAACTGAAATTCAGATATGCTAGAGACAACCACTGCAATAAAATTTCCATGTTAAAGAATCGTTGAAAAATAACAATAAGCATTTTTCAATAATACTATTATGCTGGGCTTTAATGGTTAGCTTGACCCCAGAGCTTACCACAATTAAATAAACCAACACCACATAAAACTGCTGCTCAAGACATTGCTTAGAAGAATGTGTCTCATCATAGTTCAGTTTTTTATTTGTCACCCTTTTCAGTGTTTAAACACCTAAAGACAAGATCTTCTGAAGAAGTGTGGCTCTATATATGAAAGTCTCTAAAGAACATATACACGCTTTGAGTTGTTCCTCCCCTTCACAATATTCACCTGCATTTTAAATAAATTGCTGACCTGTCACAGGCATTTGAAGGCATTGGACCTGTCTCCTCAGAACGTATGTCTTTCAAGGAATAACACCAAGATGCTGACATTATAACACTATCTGCTGAAAACCCCACTCTTCACCACAGGTCAGGAGTCTAAGTCATGCTCCAGAAATTCCTGAGGTCTGCACTGGGTGCGCATATGACCTCGGGAGGGAGTCAAGGTTCATTTCTTCATGCAGCCTCCTCCAGTAACTGGTACACAACCTAAAGCATCTATTCCATTACTTCTATTAGACTCACAAAGCTGATGATTGACTATGTCACTGCCCTCTGTCTCACTATTAAATACCAGTGAGACACATCAGCAAAGTATGCCTCATTAGCTAGAAACTAGTGATTTAGGGAACATCATTAATGTTCTTTGACCACCCTGCGCTCAAGTGTACAATACATTTACTGGCTGGAGCGGTTGGTCCAGGGATGTGGCCACTTTAAAGTCAAGGCAGACAGACCTATTCTGTAATGAAGAAGTGGAATTTCCAGAACACAATTCTTCGTGTTGTACAGGGGATGTTTCTTGCTTTGGGTTTACACACCGTCCTTGTACAGGAGTCTTGGAGTCCAATTTGTTCTCCAACATAATTTCAGAGCACTGCTCTACTCTGCCAAAATGATGCGTCTCCTAACTTAAGAGAAGAGTCTTGTCCATAAAGATAAATCTTTTTTTAAAATTGTCTTTTAATTCCGCGTTACTAAAGCTATCAGACTTTGCTCCTTTAGGGTATTACTGTGTAACATTTCGTTGTCAGCAAAACAATTAAAATAATATTTGCAATTTTTAGTAAGTTACTGAAAAGAAAGTAAACTTACTTTAGTAAGTTACTGAAAAGAAAGTTTTAGAACTTACTGAAAAGTAAGTTACTTTTAAGCCTCTCAGGTAAATAAACGAAGTTTTGTTAAACAAATTGCTCCATCCATAACGTATAGATTTTATTTTCTCTGTTGAATGGTTACACAATAGTGCACGTAACTAAGATCTCGTGAATTTTGCCTTTTTACTTTGTCCTCCTTAAAAAGACTCAATTTTTTTTTGTACAAGACACTAAAAAACATCCCATTTCAGTTTTCCTATTCCAAACTCGATTCCAAATGTTTCTCCTTCCCCTTAGCATTAAGCTTCGGGCTCTGCAATTAACACACATCAAATAGATCTCAGGATGTCACCAAAAGGTGTAATGCTACTACGATGCATGTCTGAATTTAGGCATGCAAGTAATCCAATTAAAGTCAGTACCTGCGAAGTCAAGCACATAAGCCGAAGACAGGCTTTAATATTGTTTCTGTGTTCAGGTTCTCAAGTGCTTTCACAGCCATTTCTCTAACGTATCATCTGCATCCCATTTAAAAAAAAAATACTAAGATACCCCTCAGTGTGCTGTACGGAAAGTCTCAAGAGTACCACGGAAAGACTCAGCATGCAGCAGTTGTTCATGGTATGACTCTCTGCCTAAAACACTAAAAATTTCTTAATAGTGCAATAAAGAGAACTAACTTGAATTATAGTTGAGTTATACCGAACTACTGAATTACAGTTAAAACTAGCAATTCTCTTGTTTAACATAATGCTAGATACGAGAAATCACTTAGTGCAGAAACTTGAATTCAGTACTCTAGCAAAACCCTACCAACTTGGCAAGAGTTTTACGCAAGTAAGTATTGAGTGATTCTTCAAACACTTCTGAATTATTAATCAGGCCTGCAAGCACTTGCAAACTGGGGTCTGAGAACTTGGTCCTTTATTTATTTAGAATAAAAGAAAAAGAAATATTAGTTTACACTACATTTCTTGAATTTCTGAACCCATTGAGATAATTTATTTGTAATATTTCAAAAGGGTTTTTTTTAAATCATCCCATATATGACCAACATTTGTAATCCCTGTCATTCCTGTAATGAATTGTAGATATAGAAAATGAAAGTATTTTTTGTTTAAATATCTGACAGAAAGAATCATTATACTTCATGCTCCCAAGTACACAATAGTGACTGGTAAGATTATGAAGTATCTTAATTATAGCATTATTTCTATACAAAATCTTTTAAAATACGATACAGGAGCAACATATTTGATTATTTTTTTGTTTTTCTAATGTCAGAGCAGAATAATGCATTTAATGGATTAATAATCTGATACAGAAAAACACCTCCTATGCAGTAACTCCATAGAATGCAACACTCTGGATTATTAAATTATGCTAGGTAGACTAACCATAATTTAAAAAAATTCTTGCTGAATAAAAAATACACAGTTTGACACAAAGACCAGCTGACTTTTAGTTATACTTTAATTCAAACTAATTTATCTAAATGAAAACCCACTATAAACACACAAACTACGCTCACTATACTAGCTAGGCAAACTCACAAAGTATGTTTTGAAAATGGAATTATTTAAATTCAGGAATAACTTTTTTTTTTTTAAAAAGATTACAGTAACTGAGCTAAAACAACATATTTCAGATTTGTCAGAGGAGGGGGAGAGGTTGATAACATACTAAGTAATTCAATACCCTCATTCATACGACCTTAGTCTGACTGCAGTTCAATTAGCCTATACTACCTGAATAATTTTTACAATGGAAAAAAGGTAAATATTTTTTTTTATGTACAGCTCATTAGTTTCCTAATTATTTCCTCTTCCTTCAGGACAAATAAAAAGGCATCTTTGCAGTTCATCTCTGAACAGGGCTGTGCATAATCCTATTTCAAGAAACATTACCATAGCTCTGCTGAATACAGTGATCAGTGTCTTCACCTATAGATACACAGTAGCATCTCACACTGTTTTGACAGCATTTCATATATTTTTTACAATCTAATAAAAACATCTGCAACAAAGAAAAACACAACGACTATTTTATATTACAAGATATTGTAGTATAAATTAATAGCATTTCTCAACTCCGTAAAGAAGAAGTCAGGAATAATAGTATTCATAAATATCAGGAACGAGCTCCCAAATCAAAACGGTAACTTAAAAAAACCCAAAACAGATTTTAGAAGGCTGCAAAGTGCTTTGAAAACATTAAAAACAAAACTCAACTAGTGCCTCCACATTTCTTGCTATGAGCTTTATTTTTTCACATCCCATCCTGAAAGGCAGACAATGCTAAATTTATGACAGATTAGCAGAATTTCTCAGATATGTATCACAGGTTCCACTCACTTGCATTAAATCCCCCAAAGCTTCTCTACATGGCCTACTCTAGGAAAAAAAAATAATAAAAATAGCTGTTTTTTCCTACCTGTACATTCAGTTTTATTTACAATACCTTGAGAGACAGAAAGATGTAATGGTACAGTTTCACCAAACTATCCCACATCAATCTCAGCTGTTCTACTGAGAGTACGAGTACCAAAAAAAGTTACACTAACTTTCACAATTACACATTAATTTTTAGAACTATCACACGACAACAAAAAAGTTACCAACTTTATAAATTACAGGAAAAAAATACAAATTTTTAATTTTTAAAGAAAAACACAGTTACCAAAAATGTATTTTTTACCGTACCTCTTTTTAATTTTTTTTCCCAGAAAGCTGATCTTAACAGGTTATAAAGAAAATTATTTCTTCAGCCACATGCCTTTGTATTTTATTTTTATTTAAAATAAAAAGTCACATAAATGATAAAAAATTTGGTTTTGGCCATTTGGCTCCCTCCCCGAAATTGACACTTTATAAAAACCTTCTGTACTTCTTTTCCCCCTCCCTCTCTCCCTCTCTACTACCTCCAAGATGGTAGGAAAGTTGTTGTTTTGGAGGGCAGAGGAGCCGCTCTCTGATGTTATGTCCTCTCAGTGCCTGTAGTGGTGCTGTAGGAGGCTGCTGGCTCTCTTCTTGAGCAGCCCCAGCAGCCCTGCCTTCTTTGCTGGAGAATATATTCAGGGATTCCCCTTAATAATCACCTACCCTCTGAACACTTTGTAGTTTTAAAATAATAAAGAGCCCCCAAAGCTTCCTCCCCACAAAAAGCAGGATCTTCTCAGAGCCAGGGGGGCAGCAGCTCCTCAGCACAGAGCCCGAGCCCATTCCCAGTCCCTCTGCTGGGGAGGAAACTCTGATCTGTCAGCCCAACAGAGGGAAAGGGGGGAGAGGAGAGAGAGGAGAAAAAAAAAGCAGCTGGAAAGGTAAGCCAGGCCCGGCCTGCATCCCCGGGCTCGCGTAGCGCGGCAGGCGGTGCGAAGCGTGCAGGGCGGGCGGGGAGGCGGGCTACGCGAGGCCGGGGATCGGCCGGGGCGGGGGAGGGCGGCGGGGGGGGGGGGGGGGGG